CACCTTCTCTCCTTCTTTTCTCTCTCTCTCTCTCCTCACTATCCCAAACACCATGTCCACAGTGGCCAGCTTTGGTGCGCCCCGGTGGGATCACTGGTGTCACTGTTCACACATTCAGGTTCATGTGACACTGACCTGTAGGTGACAGGAAAGCTCAATTCTTTGGAGGGTTAGGTGTTGCCAAGGCTGTTGAAAGCATTACCAGTGAGGTCATACAGTGAGGCATGCGGCATTCAATGGATTTACTTTGATGATTCAGACTGAAAAAGCCTGACAGCCCACAGTGACACAATAGCCTGTAATCTATTTAAGATTAAAGTCTGTCAGCCAGACAGACGGTACCCATGAATTTAGAGAGGACAAATAAAAGTGTGTTATCAGTATCAAACATAATCATGTTAACAATTATCAAAAAGAGCACAGCAATATTAGATATATTATCCATATGTTTATCATCTGGACTTGTGTCTGATTATTGCTGCTATGGTCCAGTGGGCATGTTAAAGTGTATGCTCTGAGGAAGAGACGGCTATGCCTTCCAATATCAGCTGGCCTCAAAGCTGCTTCTATAATGCATGAAGATCAATACGCTGTGGCTTTGGGAGTGAGGCCTTGCAACTCTGTGCCCATATCAAGTATTCCCGCCAACTGCCCTGCCGTTTGAAGAGATCTATGCCTTTGGATTTATCAGGGCTCAAGGGAAAGCAGACTACAGTCTGGATACCCAAACTGCTATTGTTTGAAGAAAACATAAAGCTAGTAGCTCTGTGTTTGGGGTATTTCTGACATTTGCAGTTTTATGACAGGATTTGATGACAACTTTAAGAGAGGCATTTCACAGATATCAGTACTATAAGGGCTATTTTCTCCAAACCTTCAACGGATTCCCAATTAAAGGATTTTACTCCTGTGTTCATTATATAACAAGCTAATTTGTCTATGTGTTGTATGTTCTACCACTCATACAATAACAATTACATCATGAAAAGAGGCTATTGTTGTACTAAATGCAATTTTAAAGGAGAATAAATTATCTGTAAGTGTGGTGGGGCCTATGACTTACAGTCATATCTAGACAAATCTGCTTCTCTCACACCCTCCAAAAGCATTACACGCCCTTCCCGGGTGCTGTGACAGTTTTGTATTGCATGAAGACAGTCCAGGTAGAGTGTAGATTACTTAAAGGTACCCTGGTGATTTTTCATTTTGAAGAAACATGGCTTTATTTACATTCAAACTTTCTCACCAAAATACATTTTGTGTATCTCTACCACCCACAAACACGTTTATGAACATGCATAAGCATGTTTGTTGCAAAGCCTTTTTTCAAAGGTTGGAAACTGTGCTTGGTGCCTTCTTTCCTTTTGTGACCTTTTTAGACATCACCACAAGTGGTCAAAAAATCCACAGGGTAGCTTTAAGTGACTAAAAAGGTAATACTGAAACAGAAATTATCTTATTCATTCATTAATTCATATTCACTTTTTCCCATTCTGAGTGATGGGCTGTAGCCTATTCCAGTATGCACTGGTAACAGGCACAGCATGTTGTTGGACTATGGGAAAAACACCTGGAGGAAAACTCACTTGCATACTTGGAGAACATGCAAACTGCAGATAGAGACACATGGCATCAAACTGAGGGCTTGTGGCCATGTGATAACCACAGAGTCACTGTGCTGCCAAAGAATTTATATCAGTGTACAGCAGGCAAATGTTACATACATAAAAGGGGCCTTGGCATTTATGGGGAGGATCTGTATATTCACCTTCACAAGTCAAGGCCACATCAAAAGCAGAATGAATGCCTGCATTTGCACAGCAGTAGGAGGTAAAAACCATGATTTCTGATACTAAAACTGTGCTGCATCAACCTACACTATTGGTATTGATATATATGGACCCTCTATAGTGGACTTCTCACCTTTTGAACCTTTAGAGTCAAGCAATGCATACTAACAACTACTTATCAAAGGTTGTACAGGAGTTCAGTTCAATCAAAGAGTGATGTTCACTTGTCAGTGGGGAAACTCTCCAGCATTTCATTAGAAAAAAAGATTACATAAATAAATGATACGTTTTTCTTCCTTCCTTGCATCTTTATTAGATTGTGACCCCTTCAGATTTGTCTCATGACCCTCAGGTCAGGGACCATTATGCTCAAATGTGCCAGACCAACCTCGGCTTTGGTCTTGAAGCCTTGTTTATGCCTGAATCTCTAATGACATGTATTTATTATCAACAAACATGAAAGTTATTACTGAATTGATCATCCTTCTTTGAGGACTCAGACTATACCTACCACTCTGTGTTTGATTTAAAGTTGTATTGAGTACCAGATTACTCCAGATTAGACATTAAACCATTAAAGGGCCTGTGCACCCACACAGGTGTTTTCACTTATCCTGGTTGATTAGATCTGTGCTGAGGTTGAAGTTGGGCACCGCCATGCAGGGAATTATGTGTGGTCGCCAAAGTCCTTGTACTAATAAAAACTGTAATGGTGTAAGTTGTTCAAGGCATAACAGGTGCAAGGGAACTAACAGGAGAGCGAGCGGGGTGTCGAGCGCAGCCTGCCCACACCCACACAGTCCAGAGAGGAGCGCTAATCAGGCAGAAAGTGAAAACACCTGCGGAGGTACGTAGACCCTTTAAAGTTCAGTATCATCTCAAATGACTTACTCTGTGAAAGAATATAGTTTTACTTGGTTTTTGGTCAAATTCCACTAAATATACACTATGGCTGTATGTGCAAGTAACAGTTTAATAGGCTGCAACACTTGTGACATGTACTCAGCCCCTCATGACAAATCACAACAATATTCCAATAATGTTCCTTTTGGGAGGACTAGATCATGTATTAGACTTATTGGTGCTGGACTTTATTGAACTGTGCTTCTCAGGCTTTAATGGTATATATCTTCTTTTGTCTTTCTTTGGTTTCAAAGTCATAAAACATTTAATATAGTAAGAGACCACACATGCAACTATCCTGATTCTCTCTTGCATTGTGTGGCATTTATCGCCGTCACATACCTTGTACAGTGTACTTTGTGTGACTTTCACAACCTGATGAACTGTTAAACCCAACAAGCCCCTGGCCGCTCTCCCGACAGCATAATGGCCTAGTCTAATGGCTGTTTGTCTTGTTTCATGGTAATTGGGGGGCAACTGACTCTGCAGCAAAGCCGCTGCTATCCTTTTCCTGCTGAGATTCTTCTGCTGGTCCCCTCTGGGTCCTCTGCTTTGTAGGTACCGGTTTCTGGTCTAATGATATCATAATTGCTGTTTTCCCTTACAGTGGACATTGGTTGCCAAGCCTGAAGGTGGCCTAGCAAATGAGCTGGAGATCAAACCAGGGACACCATGATGATGAAGGAACAGTGTAGATGCAGAAAAAAAAATAACACTCACCAAAGAATGCCTCGTTACTCATATTTTTACCCCTGATTCTTTTCCTTCTTGCTGAACCACCTGGTTGTATCCACAATACATCATTAGCGGTGGAAAATGCAAATTAATCTTCTCTGTTTAAGTCAATTTGGGCTCTATGTGTTTGTCCTTTAAGGGGCTCTAAGAAACTGAGATATTAACTTGACCTGTGTGATGAGCCTGACAGAGCCACAGATGTACACACTTACCCACAAACGCCCACACATGGACACACAGAACTCAAGAGATTGGCAAAACTAAAGATATATTTTGTATTTAACGCATCATTCCTGCAATGTCTGTTTTCTACAATTCACAAAGACCAGCTCCCCTCCACACCGCACACTCACAGGAGTGAGATAGTGCAGTGCTGTTTGAACAATCATTTCTCAGTCCAGCTGAATTCATGCTGACGCTCCAGTTTGCTCAGTTTGCTTTCTGAAAACTCCCCTCTTCCTCTTTTTAATCCTCTGAGGGAAAGCAGAAAGAGGGAGAGAGAAAGAGAGAGACCAGCATTGAATGCTGACAGGGACATAACTTGCCTTCCCTGCATACCTTGTTTACAGTCTCCCACCCTGCTGCTATACCCTCCTCTCTCAATGGAGCCATAAAAAACAAATAGGGGCTTTTAGAGAAATTGCCTGTGCACTGAAGATTAATAACAGTTGCACCAGTTCACCCAAGAAAGTCTCCAGAGGCAAAAATGATATTGGAAGATTAAAAGTGCCACATCCCTAAATTGGAATGATTCAGAGCTCAGGCCGCTTTCTAACCAGCTTATTGAGAGTCAAGGCCTTGGTCTATCTGCCAGACAAAGAGGATCATTAAGTATTTACTTCTGGATGAGGATCTGCTGCATGCGTATAATGATGAGCTGAGTGTGTGATCGATCCTCTGTGTTTAAGATGGAAGCGTGGTGGCCCAGGAGCACACAAAAAGACAGTCCATCCTGTGTTAGGTTAGGCCATCTTTTCATTGTTTGTAACCCATTCATTTAAGTAGCCTGATGGCAGGTAGTAAGGAGAGGTCCAATTTGACCCATTACTATCAAACACAAGAGTAAGGTGCAGTATGAATCTTTTGGCCTGCTACTGGGCCTTTCATTATAGCTGGACACCTTTTTTTTTAAAAAAAAAAAAAAAAAGAAGCATAGGTCTATGCACCCTGCATACCTCATGATAATTAAGAAGATTAGGTAGCACGATTAAGGTATAATAAATCATCAGAGGCATCTAGTCTACCTCTGGAAGAAAAAAACCCAGAACAAATGAAATGAAATGACAACAACAAAAAACACCAATGAAAATAATCACTATAATAATATTTCCAAGAGAAGTCATTTCCTGTTTTGCTGTGATATTACTATCTTTATAATAATTTGATATATGCCAACTTTTTCAGCAAAATAAATAAAAGGTGCAACCTATTCAATGCTTACTGTGAACACTCAGACTCATCCTCTGCTGACTAACCACGACACTTGGCTCTGCACATTTTCAGCAGTGCCTGGGATTTCTATGGTAACAGGGAAACACACGTCTCCGCGGCAACCAGACCAAAGCGTCTCTGACGTTGCATAGCAACCACTACAAAAAACAACGGGCGTCACGTTTTGAGAGCCACACAAATATTAATTAGTTAACGTTAGTTAGCAACGTCGCTCTTCATTTTCGGTTAGAATTATCAGAGTTATCAGCACTTTCCAAGACAACACCTGTGAATATGTTGAGGAACAAGACGGAGCTAAAGACAGAAGGCTTCACCGTGAAGGCCACTATGAAGAACTCCGTGGTGAGTGAAGTTATTTGATGTTCCTAACGTTAACCTAGCAAACGTTCGGTTAACGTTAGCTTTAGCAGTGTATGTAACATTAAGTTGGTCTTCTTTATTCTGAAACAATTGACTGACAGCTGACTATAAAGCATATGGAAGTTGTAACGAAATATAATGTGATATATGGGCCTAAAAAAGCGCATATTTAGCTGAGGTATTTCATCAGTAATGAGTTTTAGCTTGATAGCTAAAGTTACACGAACAGCGCTTTTGAATGTTTCTCAGACAAGAGTCGCAGGCTGAGTTGTGCTTTTGTGTGGTAGGTTACATGAACACTGATACTCTGTACTCCCACATGCTGCCATCAGTGTGGCACCACTATCTAGGTTAAGTTACAGTTGATGGAAAAGGATGGAGGGAGGAGGCAGCCTCTTACTTGCCGCTTTAAATGATCCTCTTACTCTTTCTTCCCCTCTATTGTTATTCAGCAGAACCTATCATCTTTGTGCAGAGCAAAATCTCAAATAGCCCACAGGAAAAAAGGGAAAACCCAGAATGCCTGAACATATTCTCAACAACCATCCTTTGGCTGCTTCTGTGCTCTGTGTGTGCGTGTGCATGTGTGTATATGCACAAGTGTGTGTGTAATTCTTTTGGTCAGACAGGCTTGGGTATGTTTCGCACAAGTATGGAGATTATAGAACTCCAAAATTATCCAATAACTTTTATGGGCTAAAATGACACTTTTAGAACCCATTCAAAAGCTATAACGCAATGATTAGGCACTATGAAATTCAGAAGCCATATGCTAAGAAAAATGCAAGTGTCTTTTTTTATAACATCTTGGAGATATCACATTAACATGAAAGGGGAGTGTTTTATAGACTAACATTCTTGTAGGGTGGTTTGAGTTGTACGCAGCACATAATTCTTAAAAGCTTAGAGTTGTATATTTGCTTTCCAAGCCACCAATGCTTTTATGTGTTCTAAAGAAACTATTGGGCATTTATTTTTGTACGGGAGCCCCTTGGCATATTCTGGGACAAACAAACAGAAGCTTCGTGTACTATGAGTTTCTTGCAGAGCAGTCCCCATTATGGACCTCCTTGTAGTTAAAGTGTGCTAAAAGAAATTGCAAACGACAGTGATGTTGGGTCTTGCTTTTAGCTCATTTCTTGCAAACGAAGATGGATCAGGAAAGTGTAATAGGTTTGTATCGCAAAAGACATTAGTCTTTATTGATGAACTGCATAGATTGATCAGCAAAACTAGCTTGCAGCTGAAAAATAGATTAATATTAGAAATCTGGACTAGTTGTATCTGGGGTAGGTTTTCCGTACCTGAATCTGTGAATTTATTAGATCAAGTTGGGTTAAATTTCTTGTCTCGGTGGTCCGTAGTTTAGTGTACTTGCAGAATTGTGAAATGGACTAAATTTGCATGACTGGTGGCTTTAAGTATGATCTTGTAAAATTAGGATGATGCGAACCTGGCTTTTCCCTCAGCTGATGCTGTTAGCCACCAAAGGCCACTGAAAGATGTATGTGTAGCCTTCTGCTGTGCTCTCTGGCAGATGTAGTAGGCCATACAGGAGCAGCTATGGTGACAGACTGCAACCTCCCAGCAGCACATTTTACACAGGCATCCTTCCTTTGGCATGCATAAACCAGAGCTTATCGGTGCTTGTGTGAGGTTATGTAAATGTAATGTGCCATCACACTTTTTTGAAACCTTTTTTTAATTTTAGTCCTTCTCTATTGTTGATATTTTGAACTGTACAAGTTTGATTCACTACACACAAAGAAGTCACTGTTAGACTTAGACTGTCAGCCCTACTTGACACTGAACAGTTGCTCACCAGCAAGTTCAGCTGAAGTTGTTCACCTTTTTGTCATTAGGAAGACTACCCTGCTTCAGTTAGTGTGAGGCGGAGAGTTATTTGTGCTCTGCTCTGTTTTAGGGGTATGCAGTATCATAATATAAGGAACACAGCCTGAGATGCCTCACATATTACTTACACAGTGGCAGTTGCAGCTGTTGAGCAACAAAGCATGTCACAGACCGTCATATTGCCTAAATTGACAGATTGAGGCATCCTTTTTTTCCTTCTTCTTTTACTCTCACTTGCCTGATCTCTCAGGCAATTATCCCCAACCTATTTTTTTTTTTTTTAGAGACAGCACCAAGCTCTTCATTAGAATCTCTTTCTTTAAGGGTGGAAATGAAGACAGGTGGCTTACAGTAGAAATGTTTATTTTCTACATGCAAACTTGGCAACATGTCATTGTATTTGCTTTGTTTTTGTCAGGGATATGTTAAAACCTTCTACTTATTCAGGAAGTTTCAAGATTGCCTTATATTTTGATTTCTTTTGTTTTGTTTTGATGCTGTTTATGTTGACAGTTTTGACTTGCTTCATGGTGAAACGAGAGCACTGCATCTGAAGTTGAGGCATCCTTGGTCAGCAATAATTTAATGAATGAATTTAAGGAAAGTGTCAGTTTAATATTTTCTGTCAGCAATCCTCCGGCTTTTACTTCCATATCTTTTCTACTTCTAAAATGTTGACTGTCCAGTCTTGGGTACTTTGATGCAAACAATTTAACTAGGTCTTCCTCTCTGAGCCACAGAGCTTTTTGCAGACAGCTATTGCCTTATTACACCCTTAAAAGAATCAGTATCTATGTGATAAATAGAAGTGGAGGAGCTGCAAAGTTCTGATGACAACAGTAAATACTTGAACATTAAACTGCCGCTATCTTTTTTATATGACAGGGACTGCCTTGAGATGCAAAAGAGGCATTCAGAGCTATCATTGACTCCCTCCTCCTTTTTTGAAGGTCATAAACAAATCTCCTGTCAAGAGCCTTCACAAAGAAGGCTCCGGCAAAACCCTTTAATATTCACCATCTCCCCGGAGGATAGGATACGTCTGATACATGAATGATACTCCTACACTGCCACACCACTGGCTAAATCCGCAACAAAAACCATTACATTTTTCAGGGGCTTGCTTGTGTCTGTTGCCTTCTGTTTTTTTCCCTCCCCTGTGGTCACTGACATATCGCTCCAGAGAGGGCAGCTTTGCGGGGAGCTGTGATTTGTAGGTAACGACAAGGCCATTTCAAGCCTTGAAAGGGTATGGGGACTTGAAGCATAGGCTTATTATGCTTTAAAGTATTTGTGGTCATAGAAATTGAATCAATAGCACAGGCTCCTGAAACTCTCCCCCTTTTTTTCTAATGATTCATCCCCAAGCATTTAAAGAGAAAAAAAGATGCACTTTACATTCTGGTGGGAGGTCGTCACCTTGTGTTTCAGGCAGAGAGGGGAACAAAGCTGTTATTTTCTGTGTCAGAGGCTTATTCCAGCTTGGTGAGAAAAATAACAGGGGTTTGGGGGGAGAGTACAACACCTGCATTGTGTTGTGACAGGAATTGACATGAATACACATACTGTACATTGGCAACATCGCAGTTGACACAGATACGGAAAAAGAATATATTGATTTTCTTATGTTATGGGGTGTGTAATATTGATAAAATTGTCTTTTGTGATATAGTCATATGATAATATTTGTTTTTGGGCGAATTAAACACCTGATTTTATATATGTGTGTGTGTGTGTATATATATATATAAAATCAGGTATTTAATATATATATTGATGCTGTTATACCAAATTAAGATAATTTAAAAAACTACTTCGTACTTAAAAAAGATAGAAAATTAAGGATGCACAGATTGGGAAATTCTGGGCCGATATCAATGTCTAAAACAAACAATTTGGCCGATACCGATATTTCTTTTGTTGTTATTTATTCGCCCTTTTGTGGAAACAGAAGAATATATGAAGATAAGCCACACACCGTCCGTGCTGTTGCATGGAGCACATCTGTATTTGCATATAATTTGTGCCAGTGCTGGAAACTGGAGCTGATTATTTCTCCAACACCCGAGTTGGAAATAACCAACACAACATCTGGCCAGCGCAAGATCGATGCGACACAATAGATAAACATCGGCCACTGACATCTGAATGCCACATTATTTGCAGATGGGAAGATGTCAGTCAACGAGGCGAAAATCAGCCAGTACAGATGTTCGGCTGATATACTGGTGCATCCCTATTAAAAATCTAATATTGCTGTTTTCGATTTCTGATATTGTCACAATAGATGTTTTTCACGGCAGAGATGACACATGTTCCATGCCATTTAAATGTCTCAGTTAGCCACGCCATTAAGCCAGCATGCACAATAATCGAGCTCTGACAAGACACTTAAATGAAATGCAGTAAACATTAGCATCATTAATTACACCTGTGCTTCTCCTACTGTGACAGGTGGAAAAACCTCTAGAGAATTTGAAGGGATAGCTCTCACGCCATTAATAGTCTTAGAGTACTGTATATAGTCACATTGCCCGACCTAAATCAGCAGTATTTTTCGTTTATTTCTAGCCTGATAATCAGACAGAACTGCCATTTCGTTTTAGCCTGACATTGTGACATTTTCGTCCTACAGATGTCATTTTCAGTTGACAAAGACAGCTGCTACAGTAAGAGCAGTTAACTATAACAGCTTTCACATTAATATAAAAAAAAAACTATAGCGCTTGAAGAGTTTTTATTTCTGTAAGTCAACTTGTAGAGCTGTATCGATCATATCCACGCATTGTGGCCATAGTCCACCTAGAAAGCTGATTTGTTGACTGTTTCACCAACCTGCGAAAATAGCAGTCTGTGGCTAGGGATGGAAATTGATAAGATCTTTTTTATACCAATGCCATTATCTATTCTGCTTATCAGTCCTATTCTTTATCTATTCCCTTCATTGATCAATGTTTAGTTTTCTGTGTGGGGAAAAAAAGTGGGCCTGCACAGGTTTTTAGTGTTAACACAACTGTTTTATTATCTTGAAGTCTGAACACAGTAGAAACAGAAAGCGAGACATGACTAAGGTGTGCAAAAGCTCCACTGCCTACCTGCGTTGTTTTAATGTTATTATAACATATTTC